CTCCACATCCAGCCATCCTTCCAGGCCCAGCCTGAGACTCCTTCCTCAGGAAGCTTCCCTAATTATCCCTGTTTTCTCCCCACCCTTCAGATGCTGAAGGGCCAGTTGTAAATCTGGGTGTCTCCTCTACACTCTGGGGACTCAACAAAGGTGACTCTGAATCCATCAGGGCCCACCTACTTCTGTGGCTTGGCCTCCCCACAGGACCTAGATGGAGCTTCGGACTGGAACAAGTGTGGGACCAAGTGTTAGCACAAACACATGCACACAACTCACTCACCACCCACGTATCATGCACTCGTGTAGCCTGGGCTCACAGAGAAGAACCAGAGGTTGCTCAGATGAGGTCTGGTGGGAAGGGAGCCACGACCAAGCTAACCTGGTGTGAGACTGCAGGCCATCAGAGTCACAGGGAGGAAAGAAACCGGGGGGTTTGGGGAATTGAAAGGAAAAAGGTTGTCTTAGCCCACTGGTCAGGGAAGGTTGCCCGGAGTTGCCTGATGAAGAGCAACCAGGTTCAGGTAGAGGTATCTCAGGGAGGGCAACCAGTGAGACCCTAAGAGGAAGTGTGTAGCATGTACGATGGATCCTCCAAAAGCCCATGGAAAATACACAGTAGGGAACAACTGTGCATCAATTTCCTTTTCTTTTTTTCAACCCCAAAATACATTCGTACTAACTCGTGATCACATCTCAGAACAGGATAAAGCATCCGCTTGAAATGAGCCCCTACTACAGAAACATGAATTCTGCTAAAAACTCAAGCAAGACAAACATCACATTTATGGTGAGGCTTGGATGGAAGAATGATGAAATGGTTGCTACTTTATGGAACGTTTATGAAAACTGTGCCCACCACCCCTCCCACCAGAGATCAGCAGGTGACAAATGGAGAGCTCATTTGAAGAAGGCATGGGATGGTGTTGAAGGTGAAGCCCACGGCAACAGATGCTCCTCGACCATTTTTGAGGAAGCAATCCTGTCCCTGTCCTACTTGAAGAAGATCCGCGGTTAGGAACAGCAACAGTAGCCAACACCATGAACATCTCAACTGGTTCTGCACACACAATTCCGACTGAAAAATTAAAGTGGCGTAAACGTTCTCCTAGATGGGTACCAGGACCGTTGTGCCTAGATCTGAGTCAGACAAGCAGAGCTTTCGATGGAAATATTTAACCAGTGGTATCAAGATTCTGAGGCATCTCTTGGAAGAATTGTAACGGGAGATGCAACATGGCTTTCCCAGGATAATCTTGGAGACAAACTCAGTCAGAACAATGGCATACGATGGTCAAATCAAGAGGACTGGTCAGGAGCAAAGGGCCTGGCAATAGTTTGGGGGACACTCAAAGCATTATACTTGTTGATTTGGGGGAAGGCAAAAGGATGATCATATTTGTTTGTCATAAGAGAGTTCTGAGAATGTTATCCAAAGCTTGAACAGAAAATCACTCAAGGAAGCTTCACCAGAGAATCCTCCTCGATCACAACAATCACAAGCTTCTACTCATTTCCTTTTCATCAAGCAAGGGGGATTTTATGAGTTTCGATGGAAAACCCTTGGTCTATCCACCTTACCATCCTGACTTGGCTCCATCTGACTTCTTTTTGTTTCCTAATCTTACAAAAAATAATTAAAGGGAACTCATTTTTTGTTCAGTTTATCAGGTAAAAAAAAATGACATCATGAATTTTCCAGGACCCTCAGTTCTGGCTTATATAGTTGCTTACGAAAGGGTCTTGACCTTTGTCTTTTAATTCCATTTTCCATGAACTTTCTGAAGGCCCCTCATAGGTTAAAGGTTAAAGTGTCCAAGTGAGAGGAGCCACACATGGGTGGAGATGGGCTTTGCTTTCTCGCCCCACTGGTCCATTACCCATCTCTTCCCTCTCAGCTCCATGTGCTCCTTGGATGGATGTTCTAAGATAGCAGTCGTGTTTTGTTTTAAAGCATATCTCCTTTACAATGGGCACCATGTCCACCTCTCTCAGTAGAGGACCCTGGAGAGATATGGCTTCCTGTGATTTCCAGCATGGAGCAGATGAGTTGTATAGACGGGAGGACACCCCGTGAAGGCCGGATATAGAATGCTGTCTTGAAACCCTGCAGCCTCAATCTGGAGACAGCCTTTCCACAGCCTGCTGCAAAGCCAAACCAGTGCATCCTCCCTAACCCCAACTCGTCCACTCTGAAGGCCTCCTGTTCATGCCAGCACCCTTCTGCAAGTGCTACGAGCACCCAGTACAGAGCCTCTGACCCTTATATGGCCTGCTCACAGGGGGTTCTAAAGACCTTCTGCCCACACTGTACCCTAACTACATATGCCAGGCTGCCAGTTTGTGGGTCATCATCTCCCCATCCTGTATTCCAGAGTGCCCTATTGTTTGCTCAGCAGCCCCCAGCTAGCTCTGGCCTGGCCTGACCAGACCAGGGAGCATCCCTGCTGTCTGGGTGGGCTGGCCAACACCTTCTCCAAGAAGGTCTGAGTCCCCTAGCACGTTTGGCCTTCCTTTGTGCTCTACCTCAGCCTTAAAGATATGGCACAGTTTCCTCTTCTCTTACAGTTACACTTTGATCACAGTTAATAACACTTCATCTGAAACGTCCCTCTTTAAGGTACTGTGTGGTTTTTTTGTCTTCTGATAGGACCCAGGCTGAACGAACAGTCACCTGTCCCTTTCAGCAGCCAGCACCAAGCACCCAGCAGGTATCTTAATGAATTGCTGAACTGCACTCTTTAGGGATTGGACTGACTCTATTGGGGTAATCAGAGCATACTTCTAGGCAGGGAGCTGGATTCAGGTGACTCTGTACCTCCTCTTCAAAAGAGCTTGACTCAGCACTGGACACATCATGTGTACCAAAAAACCTGGCTGGCTGGGGGGAAAATGTTTGAGTAAGTGCATGTATATATGAATAAAAGGATGGAGGATGGGTGGATGGATGGACAGGTAGATGAACAGATGGATGAATGGCTAGATGGACATATAGACAGATTTATGGATAGACAAGCAAACAGCTGGATGAATGGATGGGTAGGTGGGTGAGTGGATAGAAAGATGAATGGTTGAGAGGGTGGGTGGACGGACTCAAGGACTGACAGTTTGATGAATGTATACTACATATTGGGCTCGTTATCTTTTGCTAGATTACTATGGACTGGAGCTGTGTCTTAAACTTTTTGTCTTCCCCACACCTAGCCTTGGGCTAAGCTTATACTGTTCCCCAATAAAACTGGGATTGGTGAATTAATTAAGCAATTGAATGAAATAAATGTCGTGCAGTCCTGAGCAAAACCCATGCGTTTGATCTTCTCGTCTCCCCTTTTTCACTCCTCCAGCACCACCATCACCCTCCCATCACCAGGCTCCTGTGCTCAGTCTGTTCCTCAGTCAGTCACTTTGACTTAGCGATGAGCCTGCAGCACTGGAAGGAAGAGAAGCTAGTATCGCACTCTACCAAAGGCTCTGTTCATGGGTGGTGGAAAGACAGGCACCTTCTAGTCCACAAAGAAACATAAACAGAACAGGAAGCCTGCATATCTCAACGAGGAAGAGTATAATCTCTGGCCAAGGGGTTAATTAGTTTCTCGGGAGAGTCACACGTGGCTTGGGGTTGTCAGTGTTTGCATCCCTTGGTCTTCCCAGAGTCACCTTCAATATGTAAGAGCCATTGGGCTTAAAGAGCTTTCAGAAGGAAAAAGAACTGAACATGGTCACGGAGCCCAAAGGACCTGCAGCCCAGGAAACAGGTCCTGACTCCTTAGAACAAAGACCTTGCTCATGATCAGAATAAACCAAAAATGGAACTACTGCCTGATAAGACGAGCTCCTGTCACCTGAGTTTGTGGCACAAGGACACAAACGGGTGGACAGAAGAGGGAACTGGATACTGTCTAATGCCTGGATTCTAGGATGGCTTCAGACAGTCCTTGGGGTCAACCGCCAATGAGTCTGGGGACCTGGACACATTCCCCTCCTTGATGGACCTCAGTTTCAGCATCTGTAAAATGGAATCCCAGGCCCTGCCTGACTCTCCAGGCTTTTACGAAGTTCTAGTAACAAAATGGGACACAACACCATAAAAAGGGACACGTGCGAGGCATACCACCAGGCAGGGGCGCGGGTGTCTAAAGGGCCACCATGGTGTTCCTAATCTTGGTTCATCCAAGTTGCTCTCCAGGGTCCTCTTTCAAGATATGGGCCTCTTGGCAAGGAAGTGGCAAAATCAGCTGAGATACACACGTCTTCTCCCTGTCCCAGGTAGCATTGGTGGTTGGAGGGCAGACAGGACCTGCGTGAAGAAAACTGGCCTCGTGTACACAGAGTGGGCCAGGCCTGGCTGGAAGATGCAGCTCAAGAGATGTTTAATGCAAGAGGGGCTGGCCTGTGCAACCCCGAGGGACAGTCTGCTCCCCGTGGAGAGTTAGGTGAAGGGAAGAGGGGAAAGAGATGGGGCAGAGAGTGCCAGAGAAGGGTAACCCAAGTGCTGAGTGAAGATTAAACAGTCCAGTGGAGTCATCTTGGTTGCTGGTGATGGCCGAGTGTGGCTTTGCCTCAGTCCCCAGAGTGGCCCTGCTGGTACAAGAGTCCACTGGACACCACAGCATAGCCCTGAAGGTCAGAGAAAACCAGAGAGAACAGGTCAAAGGCCAATCTAAAACAGCACCAACCCCAAGTTGTTCACGCTTGGCCCCTCTTCTTGTGTGTACTGAGAAAAGCCCTTTGCCTCTCTGCGCCTCAGTTTCCTGCTCTGTCACTCGGGTGGAAACAGCTCTCTCCCTCCAAGTTTACCATGAGGATGCAGAAAGTCCTCATGGGAAGAGAACTCAGCCTGGGCGTGGCACTGGGAAAATGCGCTGCTATGCCTGGAAGTCGGGAACCATCCGTGTCTCTCACCAAGGCTCCCCAGCAGGTCCAGTCATGCCCGTCAACACGTTACAGCCTTGGAAACTCAGAGAGGTAATTCTACCCTGTCCTATAGGGTCACTATGAGACAGAATTGACTTGATGGCCATGAACAAGTATCCTTCAGGTAAGGAGCCCGGATGGGGCAATGGTTAAAGCACTCAAATGCTAACCAATAAGTCAGTGGTTGGAACCCACCTTTCTTCACAGGAGAAAAGGCCTGCTGACCTGCTCCTGTCAAGGTGACAGCTTTGGAAACCCTTTGGGGGCAGTTCTACTCTGTCCTACAGCGTGAGCATGAGTCAAAATCCACTCAACCTCAAAAACAGCAAGAGTCCAGGTGAGACAGAAACAAGCTGTAGGCTTGCACCCTGGACTGTGGTTGTGATTGAATTTCTGATCTGAAAGAAGAGATTTTAGGCCAGTTGCCTACACCACCTGCAGAGGCTGGTCTACAAAATTTAAGGAAGCCCTCTGCTGTCTGGCACAATTGAAGTCCTCCATCCCCTAACGAGGTGTGGTGTCATATCTGATGAGGATGAAAGGCAAGTGAGGTCCTCATCCTATTGCCTCGTGACGTCACAAGTGTTACATCTCACTGCTAAGGATCTGAAGCTTCGTCATGGCAGGAGCTGGGCACCTGGGTCTGGCTAATCATAAAGCCCCACTGAGTTAGTTGATTGTGCCAACCCGGCCGATAATCACATGTGGGGCTAATTGAAAGGCAGAGGGATAAATGGGTGGTGAGCCTCGCCTTTCTAGTTCCCAGGTCTCTTGCTTTGTGATGGTCGCACCAGGGTGCAGCTGCCTTAGCAGTTCCCTGCTTCAGCTTGCAAGATTGATTTCCTACAAGACATCCCCAAGGAGAAGCCACATGGACCTATCCCGGTGCAGCCCTGGGTGCTGGAGCAGCTGTGTGGAGACCCCTGCTAGTGCTGAGATGCTTATTCGTTCACTGACTCAGCTTTCCTCCTGCAGTCAGCATAATTGCCTCTGTTTTGTGAGGTGAAGGACTTTGTGGACTCGTGTTGGGTGAATGTTGGACTTGTGGGCTTGGGCAGCATTGGGTTGGGATATTTTCGTGATGCACACTTTCTTTACATAAAACTCTCTTATACATGAGTTGCTGTGGATTTGTTTCTCTAAAGTACCTAGACTAATACACCCACTGTGTGCATGAGCAGGGAGGGAGGGAAGGGGGCCCCACTGCAGCGAGCCCACCCTCCACCTGCAGTTCTCACCTCATAGATGAAGACCTTGGAGGAGGTGTAGCGGAGGTTGACCACATTGGGGAGGGGAACCCCTATGCCCAGGAGAGCTGCAGGAGGGAAAGGGGGGATTGAGTCACCTCCCACAGGTAAGAGAGCACCTCCCACAACCCCAGAGGAGGGAGTATGATTGTTAGGCCCATTTTACAGCAGGGGAAACTGAGGCTTTGAGAAGGGAAGTAACTTAGCCAAGGTCTCACCTGAGCATGAGCACCCCTTAACCACTGAGCCTCAGAGGTGGGAAGGGCTGGGGGGGCTGGGCAGGGAGGGACTGAGTGGCAGGAAGCACTGAAAGTTGGAGGGCAAGGCTTACCATTGAAGTGGTCAAGCAGGGGCTTCTCAAGCACAGTGCCCATGAGGGTGTGCACGTGATCCACCTGCAGCCACAAAGCCAGGGCAATAGAGACCGTGAGCCCAGCCCAGCGGAGCACCCAGGAGAGAGTAATAGTGAGACACGTATGTGAACACACACACAGAAAGACAGATAGACAACATCTTTCAGGTTCAAGCAGAGTCCAGCTACACCCCTGGAGTTGGACCAGCCTCTGAGTGGCAGACGCCCTGACATCAACTGATGGACAGGAGGCCTAGCTCACTGACAGACACCCACTCACTCACTGTGTAGTCAACAGGTGGATGATGGATGGACACTGGTTGATGAGCACTTGTTCACTCTCAAAACCACTAACCACCAGCTGGACAGACGGGCCTCATGCCAGACGACTGACTGGTGGACATTCTGACTGACACTGACCCTGACTGGCAGTGGCTGAGGGGAGCTGGAACCCTGCCTGACCCTGATGTGTCTCACTGACTGGTGGACTCAGTGACTCTTGGGCTGAGGGCTGGGTGACTGAGACACCGAGGACAGACAGAGTGACAGGAAGCCTGATGACTGAACCTACTGAAGGACTGAGCCAGTTCAAGAGTGACCAGATAACTAGTGGCCATATAGCCTGTGAGAAGGCAGACTGCCTGAGAGATGGGCCAGCTGATTGACCATTGTCCCTAAGCACCCTGGGGCGAAGCCCGGATTATGGGGTTACATACTGAGACGTGTGCACAAACTCCTTCCCAGGCTCAAAGCCTGCCCCACCCAGTAGTGAAGTCTCTGAGGACCCTGGACCCAGACTCACATCAATAGAGCCCACGTTGGACGAGGCCACGGTGAGTTGGACATCCCTGGAAAAGAATCAGGAGGGTTTGAACTAAGTCTTGTGCTTCAACACCCTGAAACACACCCCTACACACATGCGCACACATGCACAAACACACTGCACCCCAGGCTCTTCTGACTGTCCAGGCCTCCACTCAGTGACCTGGGCTGGTTATGGACCCATTGTACAGAATGCACCTAGGCTGCTGGTCCTGGGAGTTCTTACTTACCCCAGTACTGATGTGGTCCCCTGAAGCCTCACCCCAGACACAAAGAGCTGGAGGCTCAGGTTCACTACCTGGTTGCATGGGAAGACAGGGTCAGAGGGTACACAACCACCAACTCCCCCAACCTCCCACTCATTCCTCCATCCACCCTGCTGCCCATCCCTCCATCCAGCCTCCCATCCATCCCCTCATCCAGCTTTCCACTCATTCATTCATTTATTCAAGCAATAGGTATGTATTCAGCGTCTGCTAAGCTCTAGATCCTGGGGACAGAGTGTGAGCCAAACCCTGTTTCCTTAGGAACCCCACAGGTCCTATAACCAGAGTCGCCATATATGATCCTTTTGGAGAGTGATGGATGCCACAAAGGCATGGCGAGAGTGCAGATGGGGACTCATTTTTCTCAGGGTGGTCTTGGATGCCAACCCTGAGGACGTAGCATTCAAACTGTGAGTTGGAAGATGAAGAGGAGCCAGCAAAGTCAAGAGTCAGAGAAGAAGTGCTCTAAACAGAAGGCAAGCAAATCCTAAGGCCCTGAGATGGACAGGCGTGAATGTGTTCACGGAGCAGCAAGGGGACCCGCGTGGCTGGAACAAAGCAAGCAAGGAGTGCCCAAAAGGAACGGAGGTCTTCCTGCGAGTCGGCCAGCCTCCCAGCCCGGCTCACTCACCACATCCAGGGAGAAGAGGGACTGGCAGGCCGAGTTGGAGGCCATGGCCAGGACCTCAATGAAGGGCTGCAGCCGAAGCGTGGCATTGTTGGCACGGAGTGTGGCTATGGGGGTGGCACCCAGCCGTACCTTGAGGACCACAGGCATGGGCTCGGGGAACTGGCGGGCCACCTAGAGAGTGGAGACAGAGGGGGGGGGGGGACTTTCCTGTGACAAGGGCAGATGGGCTGTCCATGAGGAGGAAGGGAGCTAAGGGGCAGGAGGCACGTAGACCAAGCTTAGGCCTCCCAAGGAGGTGACCCCCAGGCTTGGTCTTGAAGAGGGCTAAGGGCTGAGACATTCCAGCAAACGACACTGCTTGGGAAAAGGCATGCTCACTCACAGCCATGGGTCTATTCTTACTCACAGAGACCCAACAGGACAGGGTAGAACTGCCCCCGTGGGATCCCGAGTCTGTAACTCTTTACAGGAGTAGAAAGCCTCATCTTTCTCCCAAGGAGTGGCTAGTGGTTTCAAACTGCTGACCTTGCAGTTAGTGGCGTAACCCATAACCACTACACCACCAGGACTCCTGGGCAAAGCCATAGTGAGGTGGGGAACCACATGATGCCTGGACAGAAAGAGGGGCTACGATGGAGGAGGAGTGGGTGTGAAGGGCTGCTACTGGCTCCCACTTCAGACAGGTGTGAGTCAGCCAACCACAACCTCCCCCCAACCCCAGACTCCAGGCACAACCAGAAACGTCACCAACCTCAGGGATGAGCTGGCCCAGTGTGGATGTGTTCAGTGGGTTGTCATCTGAGTTCTGAAATCAGCCCCCCGGCCCATGACAGGTATTAGGGTAGCCACACCCCAAGCTAAACCACCCTTAGCCCCTTGCAGACAGGAAGCCCTGTCTGTCGCCCCCATTGGATCCACCCAGTAGTCACCCTGTGACCCCAACATGCCAGCTCTTCCATCCACCACCTGGCCCCTGTGGAACCTCCCAGACTTGAGCACAAAGTCATCTGCCCACACTCCCCAGACAGCTGGTCCAGCCCGCACCGGCTGCCCTGTGATGTCCAGGTTGAGGCTCCCAGCCTTATGCAGCAGCAGGAGAGCAGAGTCAAACAGGTCCTGGGAGAGGCCCACAGTTGCCATGGCTCCCTTGGTGCCCACTTGGCGTGGCACCATGAAGTGGGTGGAGTCCACAGGCAGGACGATGGGCTTGGCCAGCAGGAAGAACATAGCCTTTGGGAGGTGAGGGGGCAAGCAGGCAACCTCAGTTAGGGAGGTGGCTCCGGACCAGAACCCCACCATGACACCACCTGCTCCCGGGGCTCCGAGCCCTGCTCCCACCTTGAACGCCCGTCCAGCTCCCCTCCCCTGACCTCTCTGACACTGAGGACTGCTGAGACAACAGAGCCCCAGGCCTGGAGGAAGCAGGACGCACTCACATTGACATCCAGGGAAATGTAGTCGTTCGTGATGGTGGGCATGTTGGCCATGGAATAGCGGATCTGGGACTCAGGCCCCACTGGGTTGAGACCTAAATGAACCCGAGAAGAAGCGGCGGCATTATTTGGCATTAGCTACCTTCCCAAAGCTCAATTATAGGACTTGCTCAACGAGTCAGAGCGAGGCTTGGATACAAGGGCTCACAATGACCTCCGAGGAGGCAAGTGGAAGCCACAAAGGGCATGCACCCGAGATCCAGGCCCTCCCTGCCTACGGACTCTTCGCTCACACATCACGCTAACAGGTCTGGCTTCTGGGGAGTTGCCACTGAGTCAGAATAGGACTGGGCTTGCATGATCGGACTTCCCGTGGAACAGTGTTCAGAGAGGGATCTTCAGACTTCACTGGGTGGACTTGAACCTCCAACTGTTTGAGTTAGCAGCTGAGCAAGCAGGTTAACCAGGGACTCCAGGAGAAGACCCTGAACTGGATTCTGACTCATGGCCATCCCATAGGACTAGAACTGCCCCTGTGGGTCTTCGAGACTGTAGCTTTTTACGGGAATAGAAGCCTTTGCTTTCTCCCACAGAGCAGCTGGTTTCAAACTGCTGACCTTTCGGTTAGCGGCCCATCCTGTAAGCCAGTACAGTGTTGCAGCAATGGGCTCAGAACAAAAACGACCATCTCTCCCCTGTCTCCCTACAGTTCCACTCTCCCCTGGTACCTTGCAACAGAAACCCCTTTGCAGGAAGATGCTCATCTCAGGGTCTACTTGTGGGGGTGGGGACTTAGCCTAGAACAGTCACCTGTTGCTAGGGTCAGTCACCCCTGGGACGTGCGGCCCCCTGGAAAAGTCAGAGGTGGAACAATCCCCTCAGGAGATGGGTCTGGTAGAGAGGTCTTGACTCTAGGCCTGTCTGGACAGTGGGTGGGCCCCAAGAAGGGAAACAAGAGGCGGGTGCTTTCGGGGAAAAAACCTCCAGCTCAGAGCTGCTGTTTGAAGGAGCCTGTAGGGCTTCCAGGAAAAGCTGCCCTTTCCAGAAGGAAACTGGACCTGAGTCCTGAGCCTCAGAGAGAGAACTTTGCAGGGAGCGAGGTCGTTGCAAAATGACTTGTGAAGGTTCCCGATTAGACAGGTATGCAGGGTCCCTTCCAGTCTGCGAATCTGGTTCCTAAAATATGTGCCTGCTGCTAGACTAAGATTCTCTCAGTCTCATACCTGGAAGATTTTGTTTTATCTTTCAGATCATTCATTTGAGATAGTAGCTCTGAGAACCAGAGACTTCAAGGTGGCAGTATGGGGAGAGCTCATGACCAGTTGTGCAGCGTGGGAGCCCACACAAGTCAGTCCAAGCCCAACTGACCTCCCAGAAGCCTGGGCTCCCCTCCCCCTGGACTCCCAGGTCTTACCAATCAAAGTACCCAAGTGGACATTCAGGCCTTGCACCAGGTTGGCGATGCTCAGGCACAGCTGTAGCAAGACAGAGAGAAGGAGGCTGAGGTTAGGGACTCAGGGCTGGGAGGGCTAAGGGGTTGTCGAGAAGCCTGCCACCCCACACACAGCCCCACACCATGGCCTGGACTCCCTGCCTTCTCCTCCCGCCCTGGGGTATCGCCATGCGTGAGAGAGACAAAGAAGCAGCCCAAAGGCTGGTGGGACAAGGCAAACGTCGGCTGTGGAACCAGCAGCAGTGACCCACAGCTGAGGCCCAGAGACTGAGGCAGAAGCCTGCTGCTTCAGAATCCAGAGACCCAGCTGCTGGAATGGGGGTGTCCGTGGTGAGGGTAGGCAGTGGTCAGCAAAGCCAGACCAGGGCACCGTGGACAGCGGAGAAGAGCCTTAAGCTCAGGGGACAGTGCACACCAAATGATAAGGCCAGGGAGTGGTCACAGCCTGAGACAGGCAAGCTGGTGAGGCTGGGCCAGCTGCAGCCAAGAGGTGGAAGAGAGGGCAGGCTTCCCCTTCCTGCAGAGCCACCTGTTGCCCCTGGCCCCAGAGAGGCTGGATGCTCAGGGTTGAGGGGCAGGGAGGAGACAGAGGGAACCAAGAGGCAGGGCCAAGACAAGCTGCATCCACCTTCATCCCTCCCCGCCTCAGTTTTCTCATCTGCAAGGTGGGGATGCTGAGCCAGCCCACTCCTTTTCCAGGTACCCTGGGATGGCACCCGGTCGCTTGGATTGGCCTTTGCTACTTCCCTTACCGAGAGGTGGGGGGGCATGGTGAGGAGAGCCCAGGCAGAGGGGCCCAGGTGATGACATAAGCAGGTGCAGCAGCACCTGCTTTGCCAACCTTAGTTCGGAAACTCCTGTAAGGATGCTTTCATGTAAGCCCTGAGCAGGCCCTGAGGGAGGCGCTCCTACAATGTGCCCTGGGAGGCACAGAGAGCTTCAGGAACATGTTCAAGTGCACAGCGGGAAAGCAGGGGCACCTGGGATTCAAACCAGGTCACATCCGGCTCCAGTGCCACGGCCTTGTGCACTCTCATCTTGTCTCCTTTTCACAAGACACAGGGGCCCTGAAAGCACTGAGCGCCCCCCTCTTCCCCTTGCCCTCTGACATGGAATTGAGACCTGGCCAGAGGAAGAACACCGCACCCCACCTCCTCTCCCCTCCAAAACCCCAGGCGTGGCCCCGGTTCGAATCCTTCCATCACTCCTCTGGACCACTGCACGGGCTCCCACCCTGACCTCCGGGGTGCACTGATGGAGCCCCACAAAGGGTCTTCTGACCCCCCCCACTCCCTCCACCTCCCATCCCTGCCTCAAACGCCACCATTCATTCATCTTGCCTTCTGAGTTACGCACGGTCCTCCCTCCGGAGATGATATGCCAAGAAGTGCCTTACCTTGGTGCTCAAAACAGCTTTTATATGCTTCTGCAAGCGGACCAGCAGCGCGGGAGAGGCGCTGAGGAAGAAACAGGGAAGGGTCCTGAGTTCCCAGGTCAGACAGATCAGCAGAACCACATGTCTGGGAGAGAAGTCTCTCCCCTCTGCCAGAAGACCAGCAACCCCCACTGAGACCCTGCCTTGGACCAGGGGCAGGCCAGAGTCACAACGGGTACCCCTTCAAGTCTCCAAGAAGGTGGACCATGGCCAAGCAGCCTGAAGGGAGACAGAGGGAAGGCTGCACAGGTGAGCCTCAGCCATGCGCTCAGCTGCTGGCTTCTCGGCTCCCATCTCCCATCTCCCACTGCTTCCTGCTGGGGCCCCACTGCTCTGTGATAATCTTCATGAAGCCGTCCTTCTCTGTGCCTCAGTTTCCCCTCAGAACAATGAGGGGTGGCTCTGAGCTGCTTTTTCTGAAGACTAACCCAGGGGAACACACTGAACCCTGGTTTGCTGAAATGCTGCCCCAAACCACAGGCCAGCCTCACTGACTCAACCCTGGTTAAGTGGGAGGGAGGAGCTGACCCCTGGCCAGAAGTCATGAACACTCCCCCAGCCATCCACAGAGAGGGCCCTTACGGCTAGTGGATGACCACCTGGATGGCCACCAGACACAAGATGGACCAACACATCCAAACACACTTGGATGGGCAAGTTCTCTTTTGTACAAACACTGCAATTGGTGGTGCCTCCCTCTCCACCCATGATGGAGAGATGGAGACCTAATGTAGGGGTCCTGACCAGCAGCGGGATTCAACAGGGTCTGCATCGGGCTCTGACATCAGGCGGCTGTGTGACCTTATGCAAATGACTTCACTGCTCTGTGCCTCAGTTTGCTCTTCTGTTCAGAGGGGGAGAACGTTGCAACTTGCTGGCAGGATCTCTGTGAGGCAGGACTGAGGAGGTGCGTATAAAGGGCTAGAAGCGTGTCTAGCACACAGTAGGCGCTCTGCAAGTGGGAGTGGCTTTAAGCATTAAATGAGACTGTGCGCAGTCAGCTGCCTCCTTGTGAGAGCTTGGCCAGACCCCACTCCCCAGGCCTCAGAGGTCCCTGACAGCCAGACCAATCCATCCCAGAATCCCTTGCTCTGAGCAGGAACATCAGTGGCTGGTGCACATGTCACGTGGAGTGGGGTGGTGGAGAGAACCCAAGCTCTGGCAATTGATCCGCTGTGTGGCCTCAATCAAGTCCCTTTCCTTCTCAGAGCCTCAGTGTCCCCAACCACAAAACATGCATGATAACGGGGGTCTCTTAGGCCTGTGGTGGAGATCGGATGAAGCCTGGAGTAGGAACCCCCACCCAGGAGCCCACAGCCCGCCTTGGCCAGACGCTCACCTGTTGCTGCCTGGTGCTGCCATGCTGACATTGCCAAAAAAGGAGTAGCAAGCAGGGATGCTGACCACGGGGGTCTGGATGGTGCCCTGGGCCACCTGGACGTCCGCCAGCAGTACCACGGGCATCGTCACCACCAGGGGCTGCTCGGGATTCCTGTGGGGAGGCCAGTCCTGAGTCCCAGAGGCACCACCCACCTGGCTGACATGAGAGCCTGCAAATCCCCCCCAGACCTGCCCCACTCAGCATGAGACAGTCCCACCTGGGACAAGTCCAGGGCCCCCAGCCGCCACTCAGGGTCCAACCTGGACCCATCATCCCCTCACAGAGCCTCAGTCTCCTGTAAAATGGCACTGAGACAGGTGGTGCCCATCTCTCAGGCCTGTGCTGAACAGTCTACGAGATCATCGTGTTTTGGTTTTTGTTTTTTAATGCAGCTCAGAGCCACAGACACACAGAAACCACTATTATTGTCAATTCCAATTCATTGGGACCCCATAACACAGGGTAGCGGTGCTCTGGAGGGGTTTCTAAGGCTGTAAATCTTCATAGAAGCAGACTGGCTCCGCTTCTGCTGAAGCAGCTGAAGGGCTCGAACCAGTGACCTTTTGGTCAGCAGTCCAGTACTGAACCAGCAGTACCACCAATGTTCCTTGTGATGGGGCAACAAGGTAGAGTAAGAGGCTCTTCTGCATGGCCAGCTCATCGTTTGCAGAAGCAATGCCGCTGGGAGGGCGGTCCATCTGAATGGCCTAGGTGGGAGCTTTGGGCCCAGAGTTGTCTGGGAGAAGGAGGATGGGAGCCGGGTCTTCCAAAGAGAAGGCATTCACACACACGTTCTGGGGTCACAGGAGCTTCCACCGTCTTCCTGACGATCCACAGCTGTTTAAATGTGCAGGATTCATCTCGTCTCTAGTAGGACCTACTCATCACAGGATGCTCACGCTGTTTGCTCTGGACCAAAGGAAGCTTCCCGGAGACTCCCAGGAGGCAATGCAGCCCGCCTTCCTCGTGCTGCTTCCACACAGTCCAACATGGACACCCTCTGCCTCTCTGGATGAGCCCTGGGTCCCGGTGCCTCTTGGTCTCTTACCCTGGCACGGTGAGGGCACGCAGGGAGGTAACGACCCATCTCACCCTCAGACCAGGGCCTTGTGGGAGACCTGACCTTCTTTGTTACACTTCCCACTCTGTTTATCACTGTGAGTCGGGGCTGGGGAGCATCCAACCCATGGGCCACATAAGGCCCACAAAATCATCAATACCAGTTAAGGTCCCAGGCCTCCCCAAAGAGAAGCTGTTCCACCCATCACATTCCAAAATCAAACTGACTGCCCCGAGGCGGTTCCGACTCATCACCTCCCGATAGGACAGGGTGGACGGGCTCCTGTGAGTTTCTGTGAGATGGTAACTCTTTTCTTTTTCTTTCTTTTAAATCATTTTACTGGGGGCTCATACAACTCTTATCACAATCCATACATGCATCCATTGCGTCAAGCACATTTGTACATTTGTTGCCCTCATCCTTCTCAAAACATTTGCTTTCTACTTGAGCCCTTGGTATCAGCTCCTCATTTTTCCCCTCCCTCCCTCCCGGCCGCCCTCCCTCATGAACCCTTGATAATTTATAAATTATTATTATTTTGTCATGTCTTACACTCTCTGACATCTCCCTTCACCCACTTTTCTGTTGTCCGTCCCCCAGGGAGGGGGTTATATGTAGATTCTTGTGATCAGTTCCCCCTTCCTCCCCCACCTTCCCCTTACCCTCCTGGTATCGCTACTCTCAATATTGATCCTGAGGGTTTTATCTGTCCTGGATTCCCTGTGTTTCCAGCTTTTATCTGTGCCAGTGCACATGCTCTGGTCTAGCTGGATTTGTAATGTAGAATTGGGATCATGATAGTGGGGGGGTGGAGGTGGCGAGGAAGCATTAAAGAACTAGAGGAAAGTTGTATGTTTCATTGTTGCTATACTGCACCCTGACTGGCTCATCTCCTCCCCTTGGCCCTACTGTAAGGAGATGTCCAACAGCCTACAGAAGGGCTTTGAGTCTCCACTCCACACTCCCCATCATTCACATTGATATGATTGTAACTCTTGATGGGAGTAGAAAGCCTCCTCTTTCTCCGGAGGAGCGCTTGGTGGTTTCAAACCACTGACCTGTGGTTAGCAGCCCAACGTGTACCCCACTACCCCACCAGAAGTCCTCAGCCATCACATTAAAACCAAACTCACTTCGCCCTCAAGTCCATGCGGACTCATAGTGGCCCTGCTGTGGGTTTCCGAGGCTGTATACAGGAGTAGAAAGCCCAGCCTTTCTCCAGAGGAGCTGCTGTTGGCTTCTAACTGCCAACCATGTGGATTGCAGCCCAACACGTAACCACTACACCACCAAGGCTCCCAGCGATCCCGTTAGAAATGGGTTAATGAAATGTGTGACCAGGATGCCCCTCTAATGATGTGATAAATATCCAAATGGCCTTTGGCAGAAAAAAAAAAAGTTTCCCACCCAAACCTTCAACCATCCCAGGGAGTATCGTGAGTTGTTCCGATCCACAGAACCTGATGTGCTTCACTCGGCACAGAACAGCGCAGCCACCAGGGAAGTGTTGGATGCACAGGCCCTTCCTGGTGCCTCGCTCGGTGAAAGGAGGGGCTGTAATTATCATGGCAGCTGCCAATCCCTTCAGCGCGGCCCTCACAAGCCACCCCGCAAGGTTGTACCCTGTTTTCCAGATGAGGAAAGCGAGGCTGGGCGAAGAGAGCGGACTCTACCGGTTACACAGCTGCCGGGCAGGGTCTACATCCTCAGAACCTGCTCACCACCTCGCTTCCCCTCCAAGGCTGGGGGCACTGAGCAGGGAGTCAGAGACCTGGGGGGAGGCCTGGAAGAGTTGAAGGGCACCTTCCCTTCACACCAGCCCTCGGAGCATCCCTGAAAAGCCTCCCTCTCCCCACCCTCACGAGGGCCCACTTACCGGAAGACCTCGAAATTAAAGGTGGCTGCTGCCAAAAAGTGTACCCCAAAATCAGGGATGAAGTTCAAGTGTAGGCGGGCCACGTGGACCTTCAGCATCTGGACCCTGTGTGAGGCAGAGGAGGGTAGGGGAATTGAGGCTGCCACGTGGCATCCACTAGCCATGCAACAGCCCTGTACCTTATCCCCGCTGAGGCTGTAAAGATGTTTTAAAGTACTGGAACCATGGGGAGAGAGGGGATGAGTTCTCCATCACAGGAGGTGTGTAAGCCAGTTAGGGACAACCAGCTGGTTAAAGGGGGAAATCAGAGGTGTCCCAGCAGTGGGCATAACTTGGGTGAAATGATTTCTCAGAACATAGAGTGGGGGCATCTGCATTTCTGATCCAGGAGGACACCACAGAGGGCATAATCCCTCCGTAGCATTTTGATCAATCAATTGTAGTCCACCCCAAAACTCACTGCCATCGAGTCGATGCTGACTCATAGCAACCATCCAGGACAGGGTAGAACTGCCCCTGTGGGTTTCCAAGACTGTAACTCTTTTTTTTTTTTAACATCAGGTTACTTTACTCAGATACATTTTTTTCCCCAAATATATCATGTTGGAAAATTCAGTAGGAAGTGTGACTTTAAAAAGCTTAGTGTTTTTTAATCCATTGTAGTGATTTATTTTTGTGCCTTGAGTCAGACACTTGTTTACCCCTTTCAAAATTATCAAGCTAAAACTAACTCCTAAACTGTAATGTCTGTATTCTCAACTTGTTAAAAAAAAGAAAGTCATTGCTTTTATTTTTCCTGAGACAATGCTTTTCAGACACTCCTTCAATGTTTAACGGAAGAAAAGTACAGTATCCTAATTCTAAACACTTGTCCTGTTTCATTTCCTTAATTCTCTCATATCATACATGTCTTCTATCTACGACATAGAGTGAAATAAGTTTTCTTCACAGCAAGAATTGTAAGAGTTATGATACTCTGATTCTGCCTCACCTGCTCTACCTTCTTCTTTTTAAAAAAAAAAAATTTTATTGGGGGCTCGTACAACTCTTATCACAATCCATCCATCCATCCATTGTGTCAAGCACATTTGTACATTTGTTTCCCTCATCATTCTCAAAACATTTGCTTTCTGTTTGAGCCCTTGGTATCAGTTCCTCATTTTCCCCTCCCTCCCCACTCTTCCCTCCCCCAGGAACCCTTGATAATTTATAAATTATTATTGTTTTGTCATATCTTACACAGTCCGACGTCTCCCTTCACCCACTTCTCCGCTACCAAGCCTGTAACTCTTAAGGGGAGTGGAAAGCCTCCTGTTTCTCCAGAGGAGCAGCTGGTGATTTCAAACCAGTAACCTCGAGGTTTGCAACCCAACCTGTAACCCCCCGCGCCACTAACAAAAGGGAACTCCCTCCTTTCAAAGGTGCCTCTTCTGATTGTCGGCTCACTCCAGTAACCTGTGGTTCCTTTTCTATTTTCCTACATGAAAGTTTGGTTCTTTTTAAATGTTCCTCCTACCCAGTAGTTGGGGGTTGGGATTCAGATGCTACAATGGCAGTGAGTCTTGTTGAATTTTTGGTGGCACCACCTCTGCCAGCCCTGGGGGTCCAGGAGACCCAGTCTTCGCCCCTGGGATCAGAAATCCACACCTTAAGGAGCATCAGGCCCCATGCCTCCCCCTTGGTCACCAGCTCCGGGATCCTTTTGTGACCTCTCATCTGCTAGATGGAAGCAAGCGTCTGACCTGGCCGGGGTGGGGGTGGGGGAGGAGCGAAGAGGAGCACTCACCTGGTGGGCTGGAGCACCTCTCCACTCTGGTCCAGGAAATACGGGAGAGTGACTTGCAGGGCCCGTTGGAGAGGGGCTTTCCCGATTTCAGACACTGTGGGGCCAGGTCAGGGTGAGGTCAGGGAGCCCCCAGCCGGAGCAAACCTCCCACCGCTGCCCTGGTCCTTGGGGGCAGGAAGGGACTCCTCCCAGTCCTCACAGTCTGCAAGGAGGCTCCTTCCTCCCTAGTCTGTCTCTGAAAAGCCTGGGTGCTTACCACCACCACCACCACCACCCTACTTAGCAAAAATATGTCCTCTTGCCAGGCTCCGACCAGGCGCTACCTCTTCCAGAACTGTCCCCCAAGCTTCAAGACAAGGAGCATTTCCCAAGGGGTGTCCTCTGGGGTGTGGGGTGTAGCGGCCACCTCCCCGAGAGTGTGATCCTTAACTCTGCCACTCACAACTGAGGGGCTGCTCTCTGCCTCCGTTTCCCCCATGGGGCCAGGTAGAACTGTCTTCCCAGGCTCCAAGAATGTGACCTTGTTTGGTATTAAGGATTTTTGTAGAGGTCATTACTTAAGTCCAGGTAAGGTCACACTGGATCAGGAAGGGCCCCAGATCCCAGGACCAATGTCCATCTAAGAAGGGGGACAGTTGGACAGAGACACACAGACACACAGCGAGGGGGAACAGCCATGAAAAGACAGAGGCAGAAATCAGGATGCTGCTACAAGCCCAGGAATGCTGGCAACCGCCAGAAGCTGTCTGGAGACCCAGAAGATTCTCTGGAGGCTTTCAGAGGCTGTGTGGGCCCTGCTGACACCTTGGTTTCAGAGTTCAGGTCCCCACACGGGGAAAGAATAGATCTCTGATGTTGTAAGCTCCTCAGCTTGTGATATTTTGTGAGGACTGCCCTAGAAAATGGATGCATTCATGTGTACATTTGCAACGATGACAGTGGTACGCACGACACAGGGCCATGATCAAGGCTCAGCGACAGTCAAGGCTCAGGATAAGTGTCACTGATGGGTTTTGTGAGAATGTGAATGGTTGTCGCTTATCCCCCTGCACCAGACATTTACACTGAATGTTTTGCTTCGTCTCATAAATCTTACCCAATTGGACCACTAACTTCAAGGCCCAAAGTTTGGACCCCGCAGCTGCTCCTCTGGAGAAGGGAGGCTTTCTACTCCCGTAAAGCGTTACAGTCTTGGAAACCCACAGGGGCAGTTCTACCCTGTCCCATAGGGTCGCTATGAGTAGAATCAACTCGACTGCAGTGAGTTTGGTTTTTGAGGTATTATCATTCTGCCGAGTTGATGGGGAGGTGGGGAAACCTGGCACGTCAGGCCTGGGCTCAGGGGCCTGGACTTTCTCCCATCTGGACGACGGCAGCCCAAATGAAGAAACGCATGTCATCTAGAGGATTCCAGCTCATAGTGACCCCAGCAGGCAGGGAGGAGCCGCTGTGGGGTGTCCCTGGGGCTGTGGTCTTTATGGAGGCAGACAGCCACATCCCTCTCCCATGGAGCGGTTGGTGGGTCCAAGGCACCGGCCTCTCAGTTAGCAGCCCAGCACTTTAACCACTGCACCAGCCAGGTTCCTCACTGCACCCCTGGGAGATGCTGACCAAACGTCAAATGAAGGTAAAGGTGTTGGGAGGGAGCACTGAAGTGGGGGTCAGGAGGCCCGGGTGCTGCCCAGACTCACTGTGGGCTGTTGACAAGTCCCTCTCGGGGCCTCAGTTTCCCCATCTCTGTGGTATGATGGTAGGGCTGTGCTCCCAATGCCTCTTCTGTCCTGACCATCGGGGGCTGCGCTCAAACTCACACCCAGGCCTCGAACTCCCGCTAGAGAGCTCCTCTGACACCGAGCCTGAACTTGTGGGGTGGGAAGGGCCGTGTAAGAAGCCGCCTGACTCAGCCTTGGGAGTGGTGGCATGGTGGGGCCTCTGCGGACTTCCGCAGAGAGCAAATACAGGTGCCCCACGGGTGGGGACAAAGGAGGCTCACATGAGACAGGTGGCTGGTGGCAGTTGGCAGGTAGTCGTGCCAGGGCATGACTGGGACAGGGAACCACGCACGGCTGCCTGCAGGTGGAGACCTGGGGCCTGGCACCGGTGCCCGGATATGTGGTCCGGAAAGGGGGGTGCGCCCAGGAGGGGACTCTGTTGCTTCCCTGAGTCACTGGGCCATCGGAAGTCCCTTCTACTGTCTAACTGGACTTGCGGAACCTGGAATCTGAGCTTTTCTGGCCTGGGGCGGATTGGGGGCTGGCAAGCAGCTGCTGGCCCAGCTTGAGCAGAAGCCTTGAGCACTCCCAGGGGAAGCGGGGGCTCTGCGGCAGGCTCGTACCCCTCAGCTGCTCAGGCCCTTTCCTGGACCTTGGGTTCTTCATGGTGCTTCCCCAGCACGTAAAACAGGGTTTGGACGGGTCTAGCAGAGCCTTAGAACAAGACTTCCCCGAGAAAGGCCCAGAGAGGGACGGGTTGTTCCCACCCTACAGAAACCAACTCCGTTTGCTCCCGGTAGACACGTCTCTCCCCAAGCACACGTGCACCCCACGCACCCCCCAACCTCGGGTTCCCTTCCTCGCCCTCAAGCACACACGGGCATAGCTCCTTGAACTCTCAAGTCCAGAAGCAGACACGCACACGCGCGCACCAGAATAGCTGCTCAGATCAACCTGCGTCTACTCCACTAAGACACAGGAGCCCAACCATGCGAGGGGCTTCACTAAGTTCATGGGAAAACAGAATCATAAGACAATGGAGCTTTCCCACAACTCATTGGGACCCCTCATGTGTGTACATTGGATATATGGATGTATTCCATATATGGAGCATTGGATATACTCCATCCGTCCACCCACCCATCCATCCATCCACTCATTTATCTGCCCACCCATCCATCCATCCATCAACCCATCTATCCACTCATCCATCCATCCACCCATTCATCCACCCACCCATCCATCCATCCATCGAACCACTCACCCATCCACCCATCCAATAAACATGTGTCAAGCAATACTGTGTGTCAGGCACTGCTTAGGTACCAGAGTTCTAATGGCAGATGAGGCAAAAATCCAAGTTATCAGGGTATATTAGTGTACAGACACACACAGTCTGTACTCATACGCACACACATTCAGACACACACTGCGGTCACTCGCATGCACAGACTCATGTTGAGCAGAGGTCCGGGGGCACAATTCTTACCGTAGCTCAGAGCAGCCTGGTTGAGTCTGACCACAGTGTCTAGCATGGAGATGCCACCCATGGGCAGCAACAGCAGCACCAGCAGCTGGCCCAGTCCACACACAGTCCACATGGCTGCTCTGGCCACTGTCCCCCAAGACCTGCGGGCTGTGGTGGGGACACGTGTGAAGGAGCCTGCCCTCAGGTGCTTAAGCCCCACCCAGCCAGGAGGTCAAAAGTCCTCCCTGGTGGTCCCAAGGCCTCCCTGATGGTGCCAACTCTGCCCCAAGCCCTCCAGAGATTCAATGGGACACCCCACACACACACTTGTTTCACCAGGAACCCGAGGCCAGAGCTGAGCTGGGCTAGAAACAGCCTTACCCAAGAGCACACAGCACACACAGGTGCAGGACCCAAGCCAGGTCAGAGGAGCATGGGGAGACACCTGCTGGGGAGGTGAGGACAGCTGCCTGTCCCGAGGCAAAGGTCCAGGCCCACCACCCAAGACCCGGACTGTGCTGTGTTGAGCTCAGAGAAAGGGAGCCAGGTAAGTATGAGGGCCATGGCTCAGATGGGCTCATGGAGGACCAAGGCCAGTCAGTAGGGATGGGCCCTTCTGCATAAAGCTGTTGGAGGCAGCCCCCTGCCCCCCGCCCCCACCCCCCCACCCCCGCCGACAGAGCAGATGGAGAAGTTGAGGCTCCTTTCTCAGAGGGGTGCCCATCCCACCCCCATTCTTACCTCAAGCAATTCTGAGGCAGGTGGTCCTCTGCCCAGGAGGCTGCTTTATGAGGCTCCCTGGAGTGCAGGGCCCCCTGGGAAAGAAACTAGGGAGGGGCGGGTTTGCTTGTGGTCGGGAGTGTTTTCCCTGCAAACACGTCTTTTGCCAAAGTGTCTCATCCCACATGTGCAGTGGGACTGCCACGTACCCGGGCCAGCTGCCAGCCACTGAAGGAGTCTGGGGTTGGGCAGCTTTGGGGGCTCAAGGGCCAAGAGATCCCCAGAAGGAAGACTGTGCCCACTGGGGCTCCTCGTGGCCCCCAGATGGCCTAGGAGGGGGAGAGAACCAGAGGCAGGGAGGTGGCTACAATGACCTCTCAGACCCGGTGACCTTCAGCTCTCCCAGAACATGACCTTGTTAAGAGGGACAGGAGGGTTCCGGAGTCCCAGCCCCAGTCACTAAGTGGGCCCTGACCTTGGTCACACAGTGAGCCCTAACCCTGGAGACAGACTAAATCCTGACTCTTGTCACGGACCAAGTCCTGATCCTGGACCCACATGGCACCCTGACCCTTGTCATGCGCTGAGCCCTTACTTTGGCCAGAAGTTGAGTCTCAGTCCTGGGTGCAGACAGATCTTATAAGCAGGTGGTGACCCCCAACCATAACATTATTTTTGTTGCTACTTCATCACTGTCATTGTGCTACTCTTATGAATCGTCATGTAAATATCTGCTATACCAGATGTATTTTCATTGTACCAAACTGAACATCATTAAAGCATAGTGATGAATCACGAAACAGTATATGATTATATAGTGTGAAGTATTTATTTCTAATGACAAATAAATGAAATTTTGTCTTGAAGCCTGGTGTAGCATGGGTCACAGTCTTCGCACCGGGTACTCGTAGGTGGGCGTATCTGCCTGTGAGTGGACCCACCTGGAGGATAGAGGAGTGGTGTCTCGGTTCCTAAGACCATTAGAAATATGTGTTTTCCGATAGTCTTAGGCAACCCCTGTGAAGGGGTTGCGACCCACAGGTTGAGAACCGCTGTAAGGGAACAAGCAAGAGAATGCCGGTGACTTGAGACTCCAGTCTCTGCTGCTGAACATCCGGTCTGTCTCCGATGGCGCACCCTGCTCACAGTGGGCTTAGTCCACCACCTCTCTCCACAGTACCAACTCCAGACTCCACCTTGGCGATCAGAGGCCCAAGGAGCAATGGGTGCGCACAAAACGCTCTGGCTATGCTGCCGGATATGCATAAGGGTTGTGCGTGTGTTTACTTAAGTGTGGGATTCTATGTGACCTCTCATGTTTATACGTGCACCTGAACCGCACACCTACTGCCATGCTCAGCCCTGTGCTTTAACCCACTGTGCCCCCAGGCTCCTCATGCATGAGCGGCACTCCCCAGGAAGCTGTGTGACTGTGAGTGTGCGGAGGAAGTGGGCACGTTGGCCTCTGGGTGCACACCAACCGGCAGGGGAGTCCAGCTGGGAGTAGTTTTGCACAAGGAGCATTGGTGGAGGGCTGGCCTGTCAAGTGAAAGGCTGACAACGCGAACGCCCCGGCAGTTCTGGAGAAAGCCCTGGGAGCCGCTCCCGTCACGACAGCAGCTGAGCAACACCCGTGCGCAGCTCTCCTCGGTCACAGGGGTCTGTGCCCTGGAGCTGACGTGATGACGGCCCTCACAAGGACCACAGAAGCAAAGCACGTTAGAGGAACATCAAGTTGTCGAGTGGCGACAAACATCAACTATCACATGGGCTGCCAGAAGACGAAACAAAGCAATTTTCGAAGAACCACAAGCAGGAGGCTCCCAGAAGGGAGGGCAGTGACCCTTCGCTCCCTTTAGAGACATCTGTGGAAAGCGATCGCTAGGGAAGGGCGTTGTGTTTGGTGGCCGCGTCGTGCATTTGGCAAAATGAAAGAAACCCTCGGTGAGCCGGACTGATACCACAGCTGTGCCAGTGGGCTCACATATCTCCATAGTCACGACATGGCACAGGATGGGGGTCACCGGGAGTCAGAAAACACCAACAGTGTGTTTGCGGGCTGTGTGCATCTGTGGGTCTACATCGATGTGATATTCGGCGCATCTACATAAGTATATGTGTGAAGCGTGTATTGTTGTCTGGGTTTGGGTATTGTGAATGCTCAAGTTGGTGCATGTATGTATATACATACGTACATACATACGTATGTACACAAGGACTGAGGGGAAGGCTCCTTTGGCCCTCTGCATGACTTGCCTACGCACAGGGGCAAGGAGACTTCCCCTATTCCAGTGGCCTCTACGGCTCCCACTGACCCCACACCAGCCCAAATTTCAGGTCTAGAGCCCTGATCCCACTTCCAATGTGTCCCCATGAGTGCCCACAGGGCTGACAGGGACCACCGATATCGTCAAAAGGTCACTGGGGCCAGCCCTGCCTCCCAGCCAGAACTTCTCCACCCCGAATTCTACAGGCCACAAAGAATGATACCAGTCATGTCTCCCTCCCCATCCTACTCTCAGCCTTGGTCTGTCCACCCGTACACAAGGCAGGCTCTCCTGCCTTCTTACTTGTAGCCGAGGCAAATAGTAGCGTCAATGGAGACAGGGGCAAATATTGATCAAGGCCACTCGCAGTGTTTGCTCTCGACATTGTCACTTCCCCTTCCTTGCAATGACCAGCACAGCCCGTACTCACAGACTAGGGAGATTCTCACCAGTGGGTCCCCAGAGCCCAGACACTTCCCTGCCCTGAAAGCGAGCATGTTTGTCTTGTTATATGCAACATATAACATACATTATCAGCTGTATGCAAGTAGCCGTTGGTGTATGCAAGACACTCTTGCAGCCACTTTACCCCATCCCCGGGGGTGAGAACTGACACTTCACACTGCCTGTGTTCACTGCCGGGAACACACTGTTGTTGTTAGGGTTGCCAAGTCAGCTCCAACACACAGAAACGCTATGTACAACAGAGTGAAACCCTGCCCGGTCCTGTGGCAGCCTCACAATCATTGTTATGTTTGAACCTGGTCTTGGCATCCACTGCCAAGTCATCTCATTGAGAGTCTTCCTCCGGTTCTCTGATCCTCTCCTTGACCGAGCAGAGTGTTCCCCTCCAGAGACTGGCCTCTCCGGCCAACGTCTCCCCATCCTCACTTCTGAGGAGCAGTCTCACTATACTTCTTCCAAGACAAATTCGTGTTTTCTTCTGGCCATCCATGGAATAGTCCATATTCTTCCCAACACCATCACTCAAGACTAATTCTTATTCACTGCCAGCTTTCACGTGAATATGAAGTGATCAAAAATACCAGGGCTTCACACTGGTTTATCCTAGTGTAGTCATAGTAGATGAAGTAAAATTGGAATGGGCCTGAATCGACAAACTGTGAGTGAATTGGGGCAATAACCAAAGTTGTAAAAATCACAGGCCCTGCTAGAAACTTACTCCCCCTCTTAGAAGAAAAGGTGGGGGGGGAGTCCATAACAACCAAACTTCAGAGGGTGGCAACCGTGTCCCTTTGAAGGTGTGCCGCTCTCAACGGTCCTGGCATTGATCCCTTCTCCAGGGTCAGGATTCGGAGAGCGCTCGGTACACCGCTTTTCTTCCAGAGCTTTGACTTACTCCGTTCCTGCAATTATTCCACTTGCTCCGAAATGGTTAAGATTGGGTCTGATGGAACCAATTAGAACTGGCTCTAAACCCTGACTTGAGTCAGACTCACCTTGGTCTTCAAGGTGGACATTTCTGCTTTTTAACACGTTATGGACCCTGTGTTTGCAGCAGATTTGCCCAGTGCAATACGGCTGGTGCTTCCAGAAGCATTGTTTAAGGAGTCAAGTCCAAGGAAATCTTTAACAACTTCAATATTTTCTTTTATTATGCTGGTGCTTCTTTATCTGGTTGGGAGCATTTTTGTTTTCTTTATGTTAGGGGTAATCCAAGCTGTCGGTGAGAGTTTTTTACCTCCACCAGTAAGTGATTCAGATCTGCATTTATTTTGCAAACATGGCTGCATCGTCTGCATAACACAAGTTGCTAATGAGTCTCCCTCCAGTCCTGATGCCCTGTTCTCCATGCAGCGCAGCTGCTCAGACTGCATTCTTAGCATACGGATTGATGTATGTGGTGAAAGGATACAATCCTGATGCACATATTTCAATGTATCCTTTTGTCCTGTTCAAATGTCTGACTGCCTTGTGATTTATGTGCAGGTTCTGAAATGCACAATTAATTGTTCTGGATTCCCTTTCCTCGCGATGGTACACACCATTGGATATGATCTGCAGAGTTGAATACCTTTGCACAGTCCATAAAACAGAGGTAAACACCTTTCAGGTATTCTCTGCTTTTGGCCAAGATCCATCCAACATCAGCAATGCTAGCCATCATTCCATGTGCTCTTCTGAATCCAGTGTGAATTTCTGTCAAGGTACTGCTGCCACCATTTTTTTAGAAAAAATTATGTTGCACAAAAGTTTACTTGCATGTGAAAATAATGTATTTTTTTATAATCCCCACATCCTGTTGGATCACCTTTCTTTGGAATGGGCACAAATATGAATCCCTTCCAGTCAGGTGGCCCGGTAGATGTCTTCCACATTTGGGAGCATTGACGAGTGTTTCCAGCACTGTATTCATCTGTCAGAACATCTCAATTGGTATCGTGCCCATTTCTGGAGCCTTGTTTTCAATTACTGTCTTCCGTGCTAATTGGACTTCTTCCTTCAGAGCCCTTGGTCCTGATCCATAAGCTACCTTGTGTAGTGGGCTGAGCATCCACCAGGATCTTGCTACAAGGACTGTGTGTGTTCATTGCATCTTTTTTTCTTCTCCATGCTTCCTACGTCAAACATTTTCCCTGGGTTGTTGTTAGGTGCATCGAGCCGGTGCCAAACCAGAGCAAACCTAAGCACAGCAGAACGAAACACTGCTGGGTTCTGCACCATCCTCACAACTGTTCCTGTGCTTGAGCCTATGGCCATGGTCGTGCTGTCAATCAATCCCTCTCCCGAGGGCCTCCCTCTCTGCTGCTGCCTCTCCACTCTACCCAACATAATGTCCTCTCCAAGGACTGGTCTTTCCTGACCACATGTCCAAAGTATATAAGACAAAGTCGTGCCACCCTTGCCTCTAAGGCGCATTCTAGTCCTACTTCTTCCAAGACAGATCTGTTTGTCCTTTTAGCAGCCCATGGTATTTTCAATATTCTTCTCTGGCACCACAATTCAAATGCCTGTGGATATAGAAATATCAGCATCACAGTGTGGTAGTTACATAATCTGGTGTCAACTTGCAAAGGGGTGGAGTCTAGCCTGTCAATCAGGTCACAGCTTGATATCCTCATTTGGAGGTGTCACAGAGTTAAATAGCTCACTGGAGGCCAGATACATACAGACCTTCTGCTTTGTCTTCCTGCTGACAAGACACATGGAGCTACACCAGAGCCCTGCAGCTGGAGGAGCCACATGGAGACCCCTGCCGGCACTGAGATGCTTCCACTGCCACTGGATCCACAAGACTTTCCATCTACTGGCCTGTGATCTTCCTGCATTCAGTGCCATTGCATGCCTGTGTGCGTCTGAAGATGAATTTATAGATTGGTATCAGACATAAGGGCTAATATCAGACTTATGGATTTGATCTGGACTGGGCTGGGTTGTTTTCTCAATATACAATTGCTCTTTTATATAAAGCTCTTTCTTAGACACGAATGAGTCTCCCTAGATTTGTTTCTCTAGTCTTCCCAGACTAACACCCACAGCAACATATTAGCAACCATAGAGCAACAATCTGAACAGATGAGTGGTAGCCTGGAACACCGTAGGTGTTTAAATGGTTTTTGTTGTTCTGTATCTGAAAGGCCCTTGTAACAATTATAGCAGCAGCAGTTCAGGTACTGAGATACTGTATTATGTTCTTATTGCTGCTGTAACAAATGACCATAAACTTAGTTCTTTATCACAACATCACTGCATTATCTTACAATTTGGAGATCAGAAGTCTGAAGTGGTTCTCAATGGACTGAAATCACAGTGTCAGTGGGGCTGCATTCCTTCCTGGAGGCTCCAGGGGAGAATTACAGTTCTTGCCTTTTCTAGCTTCTAGAAGCCACCTCCATCCCTCATCTCGAGGTCTCATGCCTCCATCAGCAAATCCAGCAAAGTCAGGCCAACTCTTTTTCATTTTGTCACCTCTTCCTGCTTTCTGCCTCCCTCCGTCTACTGGGTCCACCCAATGTGTGCACCCAAGAGGATCATCACCTTTCTTATTTTTCTCCACCTCCTTCCTTTAGGAGAAACAAATTACCAACTTTATTCCATCAGCAACCCCTCTTTCCCTTTGTCATGTCTTCTAGCATATTCACATGCCCCAAGGGTTAGTCTGAGGATCTCTTTTGGGGGTCATCCGTAACTGCTACATGTTATCAGGAGAGACCAGGCCCTGGAGAAGGGCATCATGCTTGGTGAAGGAGAAGGGGCGTGAGAAAGAGGAAGACCCTTGACGAGGTGGATTGGCATGGGGGCTACAACAGCGAACCACTGTGAGGATGGGCACCGATTCCTTATGCTGTACGCAGGGTCGCTATGATTGCAATCAGCCGCCAGCTCTAAGAACAGCTTTCTGCCTATCGTAGGTACTCCGCCTGCAACTTGGGCCATCGCCACCAGGAGACAAAGCCGATTTTGTTTTAGCTTCACGATCCCAATAATCAAGCAAGGCGAAGAGAGAAAAATTAATTAACTGGGCCTTCCCACTTAGTTTATGCTTTTATTTTTCCTTAGTAAAAGGAACTCTTTCTGAAAACAGCAACTTGTGAACTTTATTCCGTCTTCTGCAAAATAGTCCACCAGTTTGTAAAAACTCAGTGTTGCAAAACGCATTCCCATGAACCTCCGAAGAGACCAAGCTGTTACCGTCGAGCTGATTTTGATGAATGGTAACACCATGAACAGACCGCTAAAGGGATTTCTTGGCTCTATAGTGGTTCAGCCCTGGGCTGCTGCCCACAAGGTAAACAGTTCAAAACCACCAGCCTCTCCCCAGGAGAAACATAAGGCTTTCTACTCCCATAAAGAGTTACAATCTCGGAAACCCACAGGGGCAGTTCTGCCCGCACTGGCGGGTTTCTGTGAGTCAGAACTGACGCGGTGACCGTGAGTTTGCTTGGTCCTGAGTCTTTGTAGAAGAAGTTCTCCACCCCTTTCTTCCAAAGAGCTGCTGGGTGGGTTGGAACTGCCAACCTTCAGGTTAGCAGCCAATCGCAAACCACCTGCCCTGGTGGCGAAGGAAAGTCCTAGGTAGTGCAAACACCTTCTCAGCTACCAGAAAGGTTGGGGGTTCAAATCCACCCCACGGTGCCTCAGAAGACAGGCCTGTTGGCCTCCTTCTGAAAAATTGGACATTGAACACATTACGGAGCCCAGCTAACTCTGACACCCCTGGATCCCCACGAGTCAGATCCAGCTGGACAGCAGCTGGGTGGGGGCTGGGGAGAGGGGCGTGAGGAGTGACCGCTTCATGGCCATGGGGTTTCCTTTCGAAGCAATGATCATCACGATGCTTGTACTAAAAGTCATCACTGACAAATTTTATAGTTTGTATTTGATGACCAAAACAAAAAACAATGTTGTTTGTTTTAACCCTTATTTTAAAGGAAGGTTGATTACAACGGCTCCCTCCAAGGGAAGGTTCTAGGGCCAAGCTGGAGGCTGGTCTGGGGTCCCCACCCACCTGCACTGTGAGGTCACAGTGCTGGCAGCCCCACATGCCCCAGGCAGACGCCACATGGCACCGTCCAGAGAAGCTTTGGAGGCAGCGGCAGCAGCTGCCACTTTCTCTTCGCCAACCCCAGAGACCCTGCCTCCACACCCCAGTGCGGGTAGGGAGAGCCAATGCCTCGGTCCCCGAGGAGCCCCGGGGACTACGGAGCCTTCACCCAAGACCAGGCCCACGGCACCAGGGATGCCCGGCCCAGGAGGTGAGGACGGCAGCCCCTGCCTTTGTCCAGCCCTTTACACCCCACAAGATGCACCTCACAGGTCTGTCTTTGGCTGGCACTATCACCTGCATTTTACCCCGGCAGCAGCTGAGGTCACCAAGGGGTGGCAGTGACGGTCCCAACGTCATCCAGCTAAAAGGCGGCCATCCTTCCAGCCTGTGTGGGCTGAGCACCTACTATGTACCAGGCAGGGCTCAGCAAGCCCCGTGTGGCACCACATGGGCATGGCCCCTGCTCTCGTGGAGCTCACAGTCTAGTGAGGGAGACAGACACTCAGTAGCCACCTCCATCTGGTCAGCAAGCCTCTGGTTCCAAGCGACAGAAATGCTAACTTAAACCGATGCCTCCCCAAACATGATAGTGAGATGAGAGGAAAGTAAAAGGAAATGGAAGAAAGAACTAGGAGGCAATGGACACTTATAGAGGTCTAAATACAGGCATGTACATATGTAAATATATTTATAAACAAGATAGGGAAATAGATCTTTGTACTTACATGTTAAGTACTAGGGTAGCAGACGACATTGGGCCTCTACTCAAGTACTCCCTCGATGCAAGAACACTTTGTTCTAATAATTTGGCATTCTGGGATGCTCACCTTCCCGACACGCACGATCATTGAAGACAAAATGGGTGCATAAGCAAATGTGGTGAAGAAAGCTGATGGTGCCGGCTATCAAAAGATATAGCATCTGGGATCTTAAAAGCTTGAAGATAAACAAGTGGCCATCTAGCTGAGAAGCAACAAAGCCCACATGGAAGAAGC